GGTGCAGATCTGGGGGAAAGTGGCTGATGGCATTTGTGAATCCCACAGTGACCCACTGTGTCCAGTGGGAAGAGTGTCCCAGGCATCAGAGAGGTTTTGGTGCTTTGTCTCCAGCTCCTGCCTCCATCCCCCCAACCCACTGTACCTTCATTGTATTGATTTGTAAGAAGCAAAGTTTGCATGAGAAACAGAAGCATGATGAGTCCCCTTTGCTGTGTTCCTGAAGCTCTCTCATGGGTCCAGGGAGAGATGGGAATTTTGTCTCACCCTAAACCTCACCAGCCTGTATTATGGATGCTCACTGTGAACCCAAGAGGCCTTGTGCATGATGGGGTGCTGGTGACTGGGAGCCCAAAGACGTAATGTGTCACCTGTCACCCTGGATCCTGGTTGTCATACTGTCTGGCAGGGCTGGAGATGATCTATGTCAGGGACCCTTCCCGTGGCGCTGGTAGACAAGGCAGTCGCAGCCACCCTTCTCACTGCCCTACCTGCAGCTCCTCCCAGGAGCAGTGTTTTCCAAACAGGTTTGGGTGGGCCTGACTCTCCACCACAGGAAAGTCCAATCTCAGCCCTACTACCGTGGCCTGCCGCTGGGCTTCATGAAAGCATCCGTCACACAGCCTCTGTATGAAAATAATGTGCCACGAGTGATTTTTAACACTGGGTCATCCATAATGGGAAATCAGCCCAAGATGGCCCTGTATTTCTTCCCACTCCCTAAAGTGTAATAAATTGAAACTCATACAGTTCAGCATTAAGGCAGCCTGTCAGCAGAGCCCAGAGCCTGTTCGGTGGAAGCTTGGGGCTGGGAAATTTCAGGTCACCCTCAGCCAAATCCTGTTAAAATCTTGACCTGCCTGATTTGTGTGCCTCTGGGGTCAGTGAGGTCCCTCTTCCTCTGCAGGCTGCTCATAGGAGGTTGTGTGCTTTGCCCTTGAGATGGTCAGCAGTCATTCTGACGAGGTGGCCTGAGTCCCATACATTGGCCTCTGCTCGATTTTCTTCCATCTCTAAGCTGAGGATTGAAATCCCCTTGTCTCGACTGTGCTCGGGGCAAAGGAGACATGACAACAACAACTGATGTTACCGTATCGTGTCCTGAGCTTGCTGTCACTCATTTATCCTCAAGTGTCACAGTCTCCATTTTACAGAGGAGGAAACTGAGGTATGGCAAGGCTGTTTGACTTACTGAGACAGGAAAATCTTCCGGGTCTGTGCCCAAGCTCTGACCCACATGGGCAATGAAAGCTGCCCCTTTGTAAGATTCAAAACATGTCTCTCTCTCAAGCCTTCTGGAATGAACTTCATGTCCACAGGGACCCACCCAGCATGACACTTGGTACCTTGGAGAATGATGTATCAGTGCCACCACATTCATTCCAACTCTGACTTTTGTACCTTGCAAACCGCAGTCTAGCCCAGACACTCTGCAATAGAGCTTTCCCTATAAAATGTAGTTTTGTTTCTTTTTCTTAAGGTTTATTTTATTTATTAGAAAGGCAGATTTGCAGAGAGAGAGAAGGAGAGGCAGACAGGAAGATCTTCCATTAATTGGTTCACTGCACTGGGGCCATCTTCTGTTGCTTTCTCAGGTGCATTAGCAGGGAGCTGGATTAGAAATGGAGCAGCTGGCACCTGAACCAGTTGCCCATATGGGATGTGGGATGCCTGAGTTGCAGGTGGTAGCTTTACCCACTATGCCAGCTTCTATTTTCATTCTTAATTGGGAGATGGAGAGGGAGAGAGGGATGGAGAGAGTGAGGGAAGGAGGAAGAGAGAAAGAGAGAGAGGAGGAGGGGAGACGAGAAGAGAGGAGAGAAGGGGACAAAGGGTGAGGTGATGAAACAGGAGAGGAGGTGATGAAAAGGGATGGGAGGAAAGGAGAGAAGAGAGGGGAGCAGAGAAGGGGGAAGAGGGCAAAGAAAAGCAGAAGATGGGGGAGAGAGAGGAGAAAGCGATCTTCCATCTGGCTCACTCCCCAGAGACCTACAATAGCTAGAGCTGGGTCCAGCCGTCCTTCCTAACCATGCAATCACATTTTCCTGTGGGTGCAGGCAGCAGAACTCAGGGATCAGGAGTTTGGACTCTGACGTCGGAGCAGCCAGGCTGATGTAAGAGAATAGCAGGATGAATCACCTCACCGAGCCTCTATTGCCTCCTTTGTGGAAGCGTCCGGCTGGCGGCACCTTTTCCTCAGTAGCGTCACAAGGCGGTTACCAGAGTCAGGGTCCCCGAAACCAGTCTCCAAGCAGCAGGAGCAGGTGGCATGTTGATGCTCCCAACCCCCAAGGCTGGGAGAACCCTGTCGCTAGCTGAGGATGATCTAGGAAGAAAGCCAGCAGTCATGCCCAGGGGGCTGGACCCTCTCCACCTAGGGATAAACTAAACCGCTTCCTGTTTGTGATGAGGTACGGAAGAGGCGTTTCTGACTGCTGTGCCACAAAACATCATCTATAAAATAGGGCTGTAAGTAGAACCTTCACTCCTGCATGGCTCTCAGGATGGGAGGGGCCTCACTCTTCTATAGGAGGACACAGCAAATGGGACCTGGTTTTGCCATGCTCCACCCTGCCATGTCAAGTCACTTACAGAGGCTCTCACTCACCCCCTGGCTCCAAGCCAAGCTCCTTGGCTGGCTACCAGGGCGCTGTGTGATGCTTCCTCCTCTACCATCACTTACCTGACATCATCTCCTGCCTGGGCCCATCTGCTGCTGCCTGTCCAGAGCCTTGGTTCTTTGCATGCCCTGTGATGGAGATCTCCCCCACTCCCAGACTCTCTCCATGCTTCCTTCCTGGAGGACCATGGCAGCATCCTTCCGGGATACCCCATGTCCGCTCCTGCCCCGGCAGAGTTGATCCTCTCCACAGCCACTCTTCCCACCTCCTTGGAAACCTCCTTGGCTCCCCGCAGACAGAAATACAATCTAAACTTTGCAGGCTGCCTCCCAATGTGACCTGTGTCTTCCTCTCTCGTATCATTTCCCTACGGCTGCCCTCTGTGCACTGGCAATCTTCCTATTCCTCAGCCGCCACCAGACTCATTTCTGACCCTGCCTTGAGCCCTTTGCACCCGCTATGTTCTCTGTCTCAGGTCCTCCTCCTCCTAAATCTGTATGTGGCTGTGAGCTTTGTATCTTTCTCATCTTGGCTTAAATGTTTCTCCTTGGCAAGGTTTCTGCCTTTTACTCAAATGAGGGACAGGCTTTGCATTGTCTGTCTGCCTGGCTACAGGGGAGTCCTCTGTCTTCACCTCCCAGTGCCACCAGAGGTCCTGGATTCACCTGCTGGAAGATAAAACTGTGCCTGACACTTCATTTCCTTTGCCGATTATGCACTAACAATGCTAATGACCTCTCCCTCGCTCTGCATCATTTTTCTCGGCATGTCTCCAGCCCTCCCTGTCTCTGCAGGAAATGAGCCACCAGGTTCTGCTTTGCTAGGCCCAATGTTGAGCACACCTGCATATGCATGTGGTTCTCAGGGGGTAGGGGCTCGAGAAGGGTGTCTGTGGATCCCAGCACTAGGGTGGAACTAAAGATTTTGGGGTGCAAAAACTGCAAGGGGTCAGGTTAGGGCCTCACACTAGGATGAGCATAGTCCTGCCCCACATACCAGGGACCTCATTGCTTCAGCCTCAATTTCCTCATCTGTAGAAGAAGATGAGCAGGGTGTGACTCACAGATTGAATGTCATGATTACAGAGGAAAAAATACTACTAAAGCCTTTCATGTTTGATGGAAAATGTTCTGTTACATGAATTCTCCATCTGCTATTATTATTATTATTAAATGAATTTGAGAGACACAGAAAAAGTGCTCCCGCACCCCCATCTGCTGGTTCACTCCCCAAATGCCCGTAACAGCCAGGGCTAAACTGGAGCCAACACTAGGAGTTAAGAATTCAAGCTAGCTATCCCACATGGGGCGGGGTGGAGGGAGAGCAGGCAGAGACCCAGTTACTTGAGCCATCTGTTACCAGCTGCCCGCAGGGGTCTACATGAGCAAGATGTTGGAGTCAGGGGTCACAAGCAGGTCCCAAACACCCGGATGTGGGACGTGGGCATCTTAACTAAGTATCAATCCCATCATCCTTACTGTGGTCCTGGAAAGTTGGAGAAAACATATTCTCTGCTCTGGTTGGAAGGAGATGAAGACGTGCATATGTGGGCTGGCGCCTTCCTGGCCAGTTGTCACTAGACAGCCTCTGCCTTGGCTTCCTTGGCTTCCTAGGGAACCCTGGGAATCAGCTGGCTGTTTGTAAATTGGATTTCGTGTTCATGGGTAGATCTGTCTGTCTGTCAGGGTCGTGTACATGTGTGACTTTACCATCTACATGGTCTCACTTGGCTTGGATAGGAGACCTGTTATTTGTGGAGGTAAAAGTGAAAGCTTTATTTAAGTGTGTGACTTTTAACCTTTGAGAATCGTATACAAGCTGGGGACCCAGAAGGATGCTCACCTGCAGAATATTTTGCCTGCCATTTTGAAAAAAGTTCACATACTCTCTCTTTAACCCTGAACCCCAGTAAAGAAACTTCTACCTGGTAGGTTCCCACTGACCTGCTAAGCACCTCTTTCAGGAAGTTCTCCTTGACTCCTGTTCTGTGTTCCCGTTGTCTGAGCACCACCCATTTCTCTTCGTTGTACCTGTCCTTACCTTAGTGGAACTCCTCTGTTCCACTAAAATGCAGAGGCCAGCTTGATGGCTCCCTGTAAGCCTCATTCTGGGCATCAAATGGTCATTCACTATGAATAAAGGAATAGGGGTGAACAGGTGACTTTGCAGAGTTATATTGTAGATGAATTAAGAGGCTGGCCACACACACAGAGATGCAACTGTTTCCCCCCTTGTGAGTTGATGAGTAGTCAGGAAGACTTAAATGCCACCTGTGAATGACTGGGGTGCCTGTCAGGGGCTAGGCAGGGGCTGAGCTGCAGGGCAAAGACCAGCAAGGTGGCTGCTTCACCTCTTCTCTTCTGTTCTGCCCTGATCCAGCTAGAACAGAGTGAAGCCAAATGTGAGGATGCCTTGAAGACACAGAAGTCGCTGACCACAGACCTGGAGAACATGCACAGTGAGCTGGAGAACATGACCCGCAACAAGAGCCTGGTACTCTCCCTTCCTTCCTGTAGCCATGGGGACTCGTGCAGGGCAGTCCCTCTTAGCATCAGCTGCTCTGTTCCTACATGTTCAGCATTATAAGAAGGGTGAAGGCATCTATTGGAGACCTACTGGTGCCACCTTAAAGCTACTGACATCTATTTGGGGACTCCTAGGTGCTTAGCTCTCTAAGAGGTACAAAAGTTCTTACTGTCAATACACCATGTGCTTTGCATTCTGTGCAAGCATCCTACTGAGAATATGAGGATCTCGTCTGCAAAGATAAGAAAGGACACTTGTTGTGGACCTAATGTGTGTTCACAACTCTGAGAGCACATCCATAAGAGGCAACTCTTTGTTCAGCACCATAAGCAGGAACTCAACTCTTAATTAGGTTCCTGTTGTGTATTTACAGCTGTTAAGCGGGTTTGGGCATCTGTTGTATACCTACTACATCATAAGAGGGCTTGGTCCTGATGTTGGGCTACTGCATATCTATTCCCTTAAATGGAAGCTAGGGCATCTTTCAGGGATCCACAAACGCTTCAAGCTATAAGAAGATCCAACTGTATATTCCAGAAGCACTGTGTATTCACCTGTAGATACAGAACAATCATGTATCATTGCCTGTCTTACTGGTGACAACTGAATGTTTCTAAGTTTCTTGTTGGTAACAAGTGTGGACTTACAATTTACACTCTTGGTGTGGAATCCTAGAGATTACTGACAACAGTTTTTCTCAGGATTTCTATTGACCCTCTGGTCCCATATTTTATTTGCACTAAATTAAAAACTTGTACCCTTCTCACACATACACGTGCCTAGGGATGAACAACTATACCCATACACAAAAGCAACAGCCCACACTTGCAAAATAACTGCCCTCATAGGTGAAATGTGCATTCAGATTTGTCTCTTCATCTGCCCCATTTGAATTTACTGAGCCTCTGCTGTGTACCAGGATATACCTGTGAACAGAACAAAGACCCTGTTCTAAGGCACAGTGCTGAAACGTGAACTCAAATATAGTAATATGTGCCATGCATGTTGAGAATGTGTGTACAAAGAGTCCCAGGTGTCATTGCACATAAAGGAATCCATTCACACACATAGACACACACACACATACACACCACATCACATTTGCGGATTTTATACACACATAATGTGTTGGCATCTATGGCCATATTTACTGGTGCCTCACACCTGCAAAGGCAAGCCCCTCTCTGCTCTTTAGCAAGCCTTCTGCAGCCCACCCTACCACTTCTACCTCACCCTACTGTTGTCTGCCTTCCAATAGGTGGATGAGCAACTATACAGACTGCAGTTTGAAAAGGCGGATCTCCTGAAGCGCATTGATGAGGACCAGGAGGACCTGAATGAACTCATGCAGAAGCACAAGGACCTCATTGCTCAGGTGAGGAACAGGCCCCGGAGGAAGGTGCTTATGGGCTTGCAGCAGGGTCAATACAGAATGCTGAGAGCGAGAGTTTGATTGCTCCTTGGCCTCGGGATCCTGGGGATATAAATATTCCCCAGGTAGATAGAAGCTATAAATTCCATGCATTTCTGAGGAAAAAGGTCACCTTTAGACAGTTTGTGCATCTCTGGAGAACATCACCAGGAACAATGTTGATTGTAGCTACTCATTCACCCATGTGTCTGCCATCCATCTACTCATCACTCCCTCACTTACTTTTCATCCACCTACCTACCCATACATCAATTCATTTGCTCTCCTTACCCACCCATGTACCTACTCATCCATCCAACCATCCATCCATCCATCCATCCATCCACTTACCTACCCAACCATTCGCCTGCCTACCCATCTATGTGTCCATTCACCCATTGTCCATCCATCTGCTTATCCACTCATCCATTCATCCATCCATCCATCCATCCACTGATCATCTAACATCTACTGAGCACTTGCTACACATTAGCACTGTAGTAAGCAAAGGCACGTCTCTGCCCCACACTCATGCAGTTCACAGCTTAAATGGGCCAGACGAATCTGTCACAGAATGGACACTTTCAAACTATGCTAACAGTCAAGAAAGGAATATGGTTTTGTGAATCCTGAGCTAACTGGAAGTCAGGGAAGGATTACCTGAAGAGATAATAGTAGTAGATACACAGTTGAATGAGGAGTGTGAGTTGATTATTCAGAGAGGAACAGTGGGAATTGGGAAGAGTCTTCCAGAGAGAGAGCAGAACATATGCTAATGTACCTATGGTTGTGCATACATAAGAAAGGCTACAAACAGGCCAGTGAGGTGAATGCAGCTTGGGAGCACAGAGAGGCCAGGTTGAGAAAACAGCTCTTAGAAACTAGGGTGAGTTTGGTTGTTATTTTATAGATGATGGGAATTATTGGAAAGTTAGCTAGGGGCAAGTGACATTGAGAGAGAACCATCCAGCATGTTACCCAAGAGTCTCAGCTGGGCAATGGCGAGGTTTTCCTGCCTCTTGTCCAGGGCTGTATCACAGCTGAGAGGAGTGACTGGCATAGAGCAGGTGCTCAGTTAGTAGTTGTTAAATGCATTAAAGCTGCAGGGGAAGGTTACTACAATGTCTTATTCCATGCAGGTAAAGTAGAGGTGAGGAGAAATGGATGGATGGAATCAGGAGATGAGCACGAGGCCTTGGTGGCAGCTTGGGGTACAATGGAAGCTTTGGGGGTGGCACTAAAGCATGTGAGGGGAATCTTCCAATGTCTGGTTTATACACTGGGAACAGAAGTGAGTGTCTCCGTCACCTTTTATCCTCTGCCTCCATTGGAAATCCAGAACATGCCTTCTAGACTTCGAATGTATTCAACAGCAATACAATAAGGAGGGATTTCTGCTCAACAAGGATTCCGGAGCACTAAAACCATCAACTATGTCATTGTAATCACTACAAAAATAACCTGGGCCCGCTGTCTGCAGTTGGGACCCACACTGAAAATGGGAGTTTATTTGTTCAATCGCAAGAGTGGTATACAGGCATCCCCCCTGCCATTGTAAAGATTAAACTCATGTGTAGAACAGAAAGTAAGGAAACTCGCACACTCTGGAATTCTGTCTTCAGAGACAATCAAATTTAACAGTGTTGGTTCTATCTTCTTAAGAACCATTCCTCTCCACTTCCTTATGTAATCTTAGCACAACTCTCATGCCAAGGGAGTGATCACAGAGCATGAGCCCATTTTTTTTTTTTTTTTCACAGATGGGAAGGCTGAGATGCAGGGCAGTTCTGTGGTTCACCCAAGCCATCATCCAGGTCTAGAATTCTAGGTATCTGACAACTCAGCACAGCACTTTTCCTTCAGAATTTGGTCTCAGTGCTCTGGCCAATGCATTTGTATAAGGGACTGTAAGAATGGGATGGCTAGTTGACCAAAGTCATGGGTTTATCTCTCTGAAGGGACTGGTGTCAACACTGAGCTGAAGAGGTGTGATGAGAAGTCACTTCCAGGAAACAGCTACTGCCATAGAGGCTCTGAGAGAGGCAGATAGCTGCAGGTGGGGGAGGATGGGTTGTCAGGCGTAGTCTTGCAGCACAGCCCATGGTTTGTTTGTTTGTTTGTTTGGTCTCACTAGTCTGCTTCTGACATTGGACAAATCCAAGAACTGCAGCAGCAGCTGGAGGAAGCCAAGAAGGAGAAGCACACACTGCAAGGGCAAGTATGTACTCAGAGCTGTCACACTGTGGGCAGGAAAAAGGAAAGGGTTCTGTCTGGGCTGCTACCCTTTGATTCTTGGAAACTGTCAGAGCTTTCCTGAAACATTTGCTGAAATCCACGTGTGAGCGAGCTGAATTGGGAATAATCCCAACACAGAGATAACATCTGTGTATCTTAATGTACCTGTTTGGCATTCAGAGATGCCCTATGCGATGATCCCCGTTGGTTATTTAGGACCACAGTTTTCCCCTTTGAGAAATGACTCCCAGAGAAAGGGGATGGTCGTGCAAGAGAGCCATGAGACTTTGCGAAATCTTCCAATGAAGCCATGGCCCTTCTCAACCTCTCTGGCTTCCCATCCCTATCTAGTGGGTTGCTGCTATCCATGAAATTTTTAAAAAGAATATTTATTTATTATTTGAAAGGCAGATTTACAGTCAGAGGAGAGAGAGAACTTCCATCTGCTGGTTCACTCCCCAGATGGTTGGAGCTGAGCCAGTCTGAAGCCAGGAGCTGCTTCTAGGCCAGGTACCCAAAGACTTGGGCTATCCTTTGCTGCCTTCCCAGGCCACAAGCAGGAATCTGGATCAGATATGGAGCAGCCGGGATATGAAGCAACACCCATATCAGATCACAGCACTGCAAAGTGGAAGCTTAGCCAGGCTCAGGCAATTGGAAGATTGGTGATGCTGTGTTTTGTGCCTGGCTCCTACACCCACCTTTATCTGGGCCTTGACGCTGAAGCTGGATGCCCTCAGAATAGCCGTACTTCTACAACATAGCAAGGAAGAGAGTAAGAGAAATGGTGATTGAGTGTTTTTGAATTCCCAAGGCAGTGGAAGCATTTGCTCCCACTATACAAGACCCAGCCCAGGAGCAGGCCCTGGTATGAGGTTCCAGCATTGTAGCATAGCAGGTAAAGCTGCCACCTGTGACAATGGCATTCCATGTCAGTGTCAATTTGCGTCTTGGCTGATCCACTTATAAATTAGCTCCCTGCTAATGGCCTGGGAAAAGTAGTGAAAATGGTGCAAGTCTTCGGGCACTTGTACCCACATGGGAGAGGAAGATCTTGGCTGCTGGCTTCATCCTGACCCAGTGCTGACCATTATGGCTTTCTCTCTTTCTGTCTCACTCTCCCTCTGTCTCTCTCTCTGTAACACTGATTTCCAAATAAACAATTTAAAAATTGGGACCTGGGAGTGGTGGCCTGTGTAGACTTTCAACATGTAGTAGCACCTGGGCAGGGAGGAGGCAGTGTGAATATGTCCTGGCAATGCGGTCTGCCAGTGTTTCTGTCTGGGACTCATAGACCTCCATCCCATGCTCTCAGCTGCAGGTGGCTCAGATGCGCATTGAGTACCTGGAGCAGTCTACTGTGGACAGAGCCATCGTCAGCAGGCAGGAAGCCGTTATCTGTGACCTGGAAAACAAGACAGAGTTCCAGAAAGTTCAGATCAAGAGATTTGAGGTATGTAGTGATGTGAAAGCACTGTTTGGCCCAAAAGCATTGAGAACTTGGATCTTCTCACCATCCAGTTGTATACTTATATTTCCATACACCTTATTTACGCATATTCCATCCTGATTTCCCCTCTCCATCCTTCCTTCCTTTCCTCTTTCTTATATCATGCTAAGCTGAAGCCACCTGTCCATCTCTTTCCACCATCATTGGCCCACCTGTACGTTCTCTTTCCATTTGTTCTTCCTCCTCACCCCTTACTTCTCTTTAGCTATTCTTTGTTTCTTTCAGACTTCACACCCCTTATCCTCCCATGCTCTTATTCACCAATCTGATTCTGCCATCCATCTACTCATTACCCACTTGGGTAGCCAACACTCAGTTGAATAGAGATTTCTTTCTCATGAACTGTGTGCTAGGCCCTGTTTTAGGGGCACAGAGGACAAATGCATAACACAGATTCTGCTTTTTTGGAAGCCTAGAGCTTTGTGGGTGATGCAGGTATCTAAAGATCAATGCTGTGGAAAGCCGTAAGCTTTGGAAAGAAGAGATCCGTTCGGACTGGAGCTTATGGGGGGGGGGGCTTTCAGGAGGAGGCATTGATGCTGGACCTTGGAACACTGGCATGATCCTTAGAGGGCTTGGACTGAAGTTCACGGATGTGCTCAAATTGCCTATGAAGTAGAGTGCAGGTGTTCACTTCTTCAGCGCTGTAAACTAACAGCCATGACCATTTTCAAAGGGCACCCTCATTGTCAAAATCTCTTTCCATCTACCTGATATGAGAGTCAGCTCTGTGAGTCAGGTGGGTGAGATCTCCTAGAATGAATGAGAACATGACCCAAAAGAGGTCAGGTGACTGGCTCGTGCCGAGGAGGTGTCAGGGATGGTGGAGAGACACCTGACCCTGATCCTACCTTGGGCCAAGATTCCAAAGTCTCTGTAAGCCAGCTGGCTTCTCTGCAGTGTGACAGCATGTCTAGACCACAGGGAAGCTGCCTTCATCTTTCTGAAACACGCTCTTTGCATCTCCCAAGGGTGGGGGCCTGTGGTCCCCAGGAAGGCTGAGATAGACAAAGAACAGAGAGAAATCCTCTTCTGCTTGGTGACCCTCAGCCCTGCTCTGGGAATTGCTTGGGGGAATCCCTGCAGGCATGACAGCCTTGGAGCATCACCACAGGGCTTTGATCTGCTGGGTTGTAAATGATTATGCCACAGTGGGCTGCATCTTGTGTCATTTTTAATTCGCTCCCAGCACAGTCAGGTGACAGTAAGAGAAGGAAAGATGAAGGCAGTCAAATGTCAACTTGGAGGGGTCCAAAACTCACTCCCCTCTTCTGCATTTAGTATGGAATATTGGAGATCCTTGTGGTAAAGAGATGATGGGGGCATGGGGTGCTTCCGGGATAGAGCTTGAGGAATGTTCCTCTCATGCTCTTCTGGCTAATGTTTAGAATTCCCGTTAAGCTCCTCTCAAAGACTTTCCTTGGAGACAACCTCTTAGTGTCTGATTGGAAGCCTGGTTTTCGTATGTCTGTGGCTGTGGGGTTCAGAGTGCCCAGGGTCTTTGTTGCATGAACCCTGTCTTATGTTACCGCTGCAGCAGATGCCCGCGAGGATCAGTGGGTTCCAGGCTTGTTGGCTGATAATGAATTCCACAGGGCAGCCCCTGGGCTTGTTTTCTGTAGCGCTTTCCTCTTGTTTCATCAAATCCCTGCAGATTCTCCCCCTGCTAGCTGATCAATGGCCCATGTTTTATAAGCCAGGAAGCCAAAAACCCACCCTGGGGAAGAAATGGGACCACTATAAATACTCAGAATTCCCAACCCTTGTCCAGCATTTCTCACATGCCAGGATAGGGAGCTGGCATTAGATTCTGGCAACTTTCTCAGCAAAGTCACCTGTCCCAGGGTCACAAAGTCAGGAAAGAAGCAGAGGTGGGATTTGAACTCAGATTGTCTCAGGATTCAAGAATGCGCATCAGGACGTTTTCCACCACCTCTCAAACTAGCAGGCTTCCTTTCCCATGCTTTCTCAGGTCCTTGTGGTCCGGCTCCGTGACAGCTTGATCAAGATGGGTGAGGAACTGTCGCAGGCAGTGGCAGCGGAGGCACAGCAGCGGGAGAGCAGCCAGTATTACCAGCGGCGCCTGGAGGAGTTGAAGGTTGATATGGAAGAGCTGGTGCAGCGGGAGGCGGAGGCCAGTCGTCGCTGCATGGAGCTGGTGAGTCCGGTGTGCTGGCTCTGGGCTGGCCCAAGGCAATCCTTCTGCCCTTCCAAGGTGGGACTTCTGAATGTACCAGCCTGGATGCTTGGGCCTGTGTTGGACAGGCAGCAGGGAGACACCTGAATGGAGAGGGGCTATGGATGACACTGGCATTGATTCCAAATACTGGGGGCAGGCCCAGAGTGGACGAATGGCATGCATAGCTGCTGGATGGCTATCAACCACGTGCATCTGGGATTCCAGACTTTGCTTGTTTGTTTGCTTGTCTCTGACATGCCACTTCCAATGGCAGGGCAGCCTACTGCATGAAAGAGGTAGTGTGGAATTTGTGAAGTAGCTTTCTTCCACTGGCTCCCTAACAGCCATCCTATCACAGACTTCTCTGAGAAAAACCCTGGGAAGTCAGAATCACAATTGTCATGATGCAGGCTCTCACAATGTGAGGTCCTCGGTCTCAGGTCAAGCTTCCCTGGGTCATTAGCTGCCACCACAAAGACAATAGATAAGAATAGTAAGGACAGCAGCTATTGTGTAATATAAACATATCAGGTGCCGGGTTCTGGATGATACAATTAGCCCCCCTGCCAGAACTGTTAGGTAGGTACTATCACCAAGGCCTTATAAAGGGGAGACTGAGGCACAGCAATCAGCCAGCCAAACAGAGGCTCAGTGTGGCGCCTTCATTGGCCCAAGGTCTGCCTGTGGGTGAGAATTTTGAACCTAACCAAGCTTCTGGCTTTTTTTTTTTTTTTTTTGCTATTAAGTCATACTTTGCTATGATGGGGTTCAGGGAACATCGCAAAATTTTCCTCCTCATTTGGCTGCTCTGTTGCTCCATGTGCTGTCTTCAGAATGGTTTTCTATGGGAACCTCAGAGCATCTGATAGTTCCGTAGTTCCCTCTCCATCTTTTCCTCATGGGGCCAAACATCCCTAAGGCTACAGTGTTTTGAATTTGTAATCCTGAGTGTAGATGGGGCGTATGCTCTTTGCCCACAACCCCCAGTGTGAGGAGCGGGGTACCGAAGCCGCTCCCAGGAATAAGAAAGGCCGTCACAGGATGGCAGCTGGCCCTGGGCCATGGGGCAGGGTTGGTTGTTTGCAGGTAAACAGGAAGTCACAGGGATAGGCTGATGCCCTCACTGTGATTATGTCATTGCCTATCAGGTAGTGTCAAGTGGACCCAATGGGAGAAGTGATTGGGGACTCCTATATGAGTAGCAGGTCTCCCATGTGGGTAGCAGGTGTAAGGAGTTATTCAACTCTTTCACCCTGGACCCGGCACCATTTCCTCTTCCTCACAGCTCACCAGCATCTCACCGGAAAATCTCACCCTCAATCTCCCAACCCCTTCCCCAACTCTGCCCACTTACCAATCATTCTTAGGTAATAACCTGTGACAGTCTCAGGAACCAATCCCCTGGGGCCTGCCCTCAATCCCTCCCAATCCCTGCCTGCCCTCCCCCCCACCACTTTGAGTGAATGGCATAAAAGAGCCCCTCCCCCACCCATGTGGCTCTGCTCTCTCTTCTCCTTGTCCCTCTCCTCTTCCCCTTTTCTCATCGCCCTCCTACCACCTCAATCCTGCTCCTGCCCTGATGGAATAAGTGTCCCAAAGTACCTCTGGTGTTTTCAGCTCACGGATGAGAGAACTAGGCTGAGGAAATTAGCTGTACGTAATAAAGTAAGAACTTTAAGTGTGTTAAATAACTAACAGCAGGAACCCAGGTGCTCCAGCCCATCACTTGCTTCCTCCCAAGGTTTGCATTAGTAGGGAGCTGGGCACTCCACTATAGCATATAGGATTCCTACAAGGTGTCTCAGCTACCGCACCAAATGTCTGCCCCATGAACTTAACTTTTCATTCCATTTTCCGTGAGCTTTGTGAAGTACCGTCTTGCGTGGTATTGATCTCTATACACAGAAGTATCCCCACCACGTCTATGGGTGACAGGCCAGCTGCCTGGCTCTTCATTGTGTGTGTGTGTGTTGAGAGTTGGGGAGTAGGCGAGGCAGCCCACAGACAGAAGTTTCCACACAAGATCCAGTTGTCCTGATTGGCAGTTCCTCCACCCTCATGGCCTTGAGAAAGAGGAGAGAGAGAGATTGACTCTTCCCTCCAACTGACAGTATAAACTCATTAACCAGCCCTGCTTCTCATGCAGCCTGGGTTTTCTCCGGCTGGGAGAAGGGAACATCCCAAAGCCTTCTGCTCTGATGTCTTCTTTAACGGGCCAGACACTTGGGCATACTCGCCAGATGTAACAGGGGTTTTCTTCCTGTCTCTCACTCACTCTTTTGCTCTGGCGTTTTCCTCTCGTTGCCCCCACCCCCTTTTTTTACTCTCCTCTCCCCATCTCCATGTCTGGGGGCATATTCAGATCTTTAGAGATCCTGAAATACTGACACACCACGGCTTTCATGCATGCTGAGCTCTGACCTGCATCAGTCTGTCTGTGCTGCACTGGTTCATCAGGACTGAACTTTCCTCTTTACTGCTGCTGAGGTCATGTTTGGGAGATATGTCCATTTCTTATGGGTGACACCACGAATGACCACAAACTAGGGGGCGTAAATGGGCATGTTTCTGTCTGTCCTCCAATGGTGAGGCAAGAAGGGAGAAACAAAACATCAGCAGAGCGAGGCTCCCTCCACAGGCTCAGAGAGGATTCATCTCTTGCCTCTTCCTCTAGCTTCTCATGGCTGTAGGAATTCTTTGGCTCATGTCTTCTGCTTCTATTTTTTGTTTGGCTTTCACCTTCTCTCTCTCTCTCTCTCTCTCTCTCTCTCAGGCTCAGAGAGATTAACTGATTCTTGCAGGAATCACAGAGCATCTGATAGCTCCATATTACCCTTTGCACTTCCCCATGAGGCCAACCATCCCATAGTCTCTAAATTTTGTAATCCATCACTCTATGTGGGATTGGGGCATGAGGAAGGCATCTCATTGCCTTTGTCTTATAAACACAGCTGTTAATGGCACGTCAGGCCCACCCTAAATTCATCTTGAGATCCTTGCCTGATCTTCATTCAAATCAAGTCACATTCTTAGATCCCCAGGGTATCAGGAACTCAGTTCACCCCAGGAGAGGAGGGAGTGTTCTCAGGGTGGGCGTCTGGGGCTGCTGCTTTGATGTCATCCAGCAGGGCAGGTGTGTCCTCCAGCAGCTAAGACACTAGGTGGCGTCTCTACGTCCCTTTTCAGAGATGCTGGGTTCAAGTCCCTGCTATATGCCCTAGCCCAGGCCCTAAGGTGCTGTGGTAAAGGGTCAGGTGCCCGAGTTCCTATGAGCCCAGTAGGAGACCTGGATTGAATTCTTCAGTCAAATCAAGGATGTACAACTGAGGTCATGGTCACGTGTCTCTTACACAGCTGGGGTTTCCTCATGAATGAAAACTCGGAGCTTCTACAGACAAGACAAGGCACTGTGCCCTGTAATTTGAGGAATTCTTTTGAAGACAGCTGACCTCAAATCTCTTTCTTTTGTCCACTATCACCACCACAAATCCAGACAGTTGGGTAAAGGGAAGTGTCTAAGCACTCGGCCACGATCCACTGCCTTCCCGGGTGCATTAACAGGGACCTGCATCAGAAGCAGAGCAGCCAGGGTTCAAATGGGCACTCTGTTATGGAATGGCACAATGCCAACCCCTCAACCTCAAACTCAGCTGGTAGACCATGTGGAGGAGTATAGAGCTGCCGCGTTGGCGAGCGCAGAGCTGGGGGCAGTGCCCACATGTGCCCAGTGGTAAAGCTCTCTCTCAATGACACCCTGCTGCCCTTTTAACCCAAACTTGCTGAAAAATGGCTCCATTGTGAGGGGGAAAAAAAAGGAGCCAGCATTCTGGGCTCTGGCGAGATGCAAGAAGGATGTTGATGGATCTCCTGTCTGCATTGCTTTCCGCCTGTCGCCAGCCTGTACCATCCGTCACTGTTGGTGTTGGTTTAAAAGGCTTCAAGTTGTTGCATGTGAATGATTTATACCTCCAGCTTGCTCACTGGCACATCCAGATCAGGATCAATTACCCCACCGATGGAACGAGAGCTCTCTTTCCAGAAAAAAAGAAAAATGAGGGTTTGCCATTAATTTTAGTAAATGTACTATTCCTGGTGACTCCAGGAGCCATTACGGAGGAAAGAATATTCTGGCTCTAAATCATTCAAGTCCCTTTGTCATTGGTGCGATGAGATGGCTCATCCATGGATTTATATCTCATTGTTTTTCAATAGTTACAGAGACGAGGCAACTCCTCCCACACTGGTCCTAGGATGGTGTATCCAAGGGAGGTGTTCAGGGAAGGCAGGAAGTTCTTGCACCCAGATGCACCTGTTTCAGAGACTGCACCTGTTTTGGCTTCTGCTCTATCACCTTGATTTGACTCTGGTTTCAGCTTTCCATGGAGCTGAGCATCCTTATCACAAGTTTCTCAGCGCTTAGAAACTTGGCAGGTGCTTTTGCTCACTGTTAGTGCATCTGCCCAGTGACCCAAGCTGGAAATCATAGGTTCTCTCTGTCCTTGTTCAAACAACCTAATGGCAGGGCCTGGTTTTATATGTACCTGTATTTAGATAATTTTAATTGTTTTCCAAAAAGATTTATTTGAAAGAGTGTAAAAGAGAGGGGAGAGGGAGGAGGAGGCAGAGAGGGGGAAAGAAAAAGAGAGATTGCTTGATTGACAGATATTTTTTTTTAATCTGCTGGTTCACTTTTCAAATGGCCACAGGCTAGAAGCCAAGAGATTCATCTTGTCTCCCATTTGTGTGGCAGAGATCCAACTACTTGGGCCATCTTCCAGTGTCTTCCCTGGAGCATTGGTAGGACTGGAGGTAGGGTAGCCAGGTCTTGAATTGGGCCTCTGAAATGGGATGCTGCACCACAGCACACACACACCTCAGTTAGGTAGTTCTAAATTCACCTGTCCTGGGCCAGCTCATTTAACTCATGCCCCCCTCTGTTTGGCCTGCAGTAGTCACTTCTGACTTGACTTCTCACTCTC